GGATTGCGATCCGCTAAACTCGTACTTGTTCTAAGTATAGAGCGAAAGGTCGGTGACCAAAGCTACGGCAGCCCCGCTGCAACTTCTTTTATTTCACTTAGTGCCAACGAGCACTTTCACAACAGCCCTTTAGACACCAACACACACGCTTGTGTCACGCGGAAGCATTCGTAACGTAGAGGATGAAGGACAGTGCCGACTAGGAGGGAAGAAGCACGATTATGGGCTTCAAACAGTAACTTTAACTTAATTAAATGAGTAAATGGCTTTCACAGCTGCAAACAAAATACTTTAAGGGCTTCGGGAGGTTTTATTTATAAAACCTTGGTTTCCTATGATCCTGATTTGTACAATCAAGTCAAGAGTCTACTAAAGTTCGACCTCAGCTTGAACTTATACACGATCTTGTGTATATGGAGCTTCAACTTCGTAAGGTTTGAGCTTCAGCTTTACTGTAATCTCCCAGCAGAAGTAGTTGGCGCAAGCCAGTTATTCAAAAGACAGAGACGTGTCGATCTCGTCACCAGTACAAATCCCGAACTAGAAATTAGCATTCTGTAACACACCGAATGTTTGTTAGTTCATACTACATGTTACACATCGATGTAGGGCACCCTACATTATTCTATTTGTTATTATGAATACACACAATGCATACAAAATGTATTTTGATGTACCTTCATGTCATGGCTAAATGTAGCCCATTACATTACCCCCTTCTTAGAATCAGAAGGACACTGTACCTGTGCAGACCTATCAAAGCAGTTCAGTTTTTGATCAAACACGAAGCGATCAAGCGGACAAGTCAATTGTGAAGAGCGTTTATCACCTAAGTGGCAAAAAAACGGTAACAGAACGCTTTGACGCTACCCCCATTCTCAACCGAGATGAAGCCAAGAGATTCTACATAAAGCCTTTCTGTCGTTGGCGATGGATTTACAATCAGGATGATCCATCCAAGTCTATCGCACCAAAGGTGGATCCTTCGGGAAGAGAAACAAAACAAAATGTAGCGTCGGCTATTCGAGTCGGTGCTGGCAAGACTTTTATATCCAATCGAGCAAATAACAGCTCTGGCCGTAGAAGTGTTTCCTTTAGCATCACTACAGGTGATTCTGGCAGCTGCGGACCAAGAGGTCCTTACGTGTCCGGATCCGATGGAAAGCCGCGCCACCGATTTTTTTAGAAGCGTTGATGGCCCAGCTTCTTCTTTCCATGACGAGTTGA